CAGTGACAAAAACTGCGGGGAACTCTGCAAAAAACGCATCTTCGCACGGGCAGCCCGTGCGTTGGCCGTGTTTCACTCATTTTCAATCGAAAGCCAGAGAAGCTAAGGAGATGAAACTTTAAAAGGCCAGCGTTCGACTTTAGACTTCAGTGATCAAAACAAGTTCATCACAAGGCCTCTATGAAACTATGTCGATGATTCCCTCTTCTACTTGCACTTTCTGTTTAGTCTGTGTTTAGGACTCAAAACAAAAAAACACATACTACTTTATAATCTGTTGGTGCATATGTTATTTAGATTCACTGTCACTTATTGTGCGTTTTGTGCTATGTTGTCACGGGGTTGCCTATGTGTGTGTACGTTTGTGTGTGCGTGTGTGCGTGCGTGTCTGTGTATGCGTGCGTGTGTGTTCGCAGCAGCTTGTTTTAATATTTCGGCTATTTCTAGAGAATGATGAAGGAAATTGGACCGCTTTTGGTGTCAGAAAAATCGTCTATCCCTAAGGACTCTTGCTTTAAGAAAGTACACAACAATAACGGCACTGTACTATTGCGATTCGTTTGCCTGGTGGATTACGATGAACATTTGGAATTTATGCGCAAAGTCAACCAGGACTTGAATCATCGCTACGGTCAACTGGGGGCTTATTATCCAGTCGCCGTAGCAGCCTTCAACAACTACGTGGATGCTCACCGTATCTTTGTTTTGCCTGCTAACGCAACATTTCTTGAAATGTGGGAGGCGCACGAGGTGATAAAACCAGAGCGTATAGCTCTGACTCGTGCTGTTTGTGCCTACAATCGCGTGTCGCACGTGCACTTCGATTATAACAGTGAACATTTCACGGTGTGTTAGTTGCAGTGACACACTATTTTCAAACGTTATCGATATGCCTTAACACTGCTGCTGATAACTGATGTTGATAAAGAGTGCTGTTGATGAGATCGACGAATGACGGATTTTATCATTTTTGATTCTACACTCTAACATTTAAATCATCTGTTGCCACCGTCATCTGCATTTCTCGCCATTGATGTAGCTGGCAAATTTTCCATTGGAATTCACTAAGCTAATAGACCCATGTACTTGTTGGAAAGGATCCTGTTTCTTTTTTTTATGCTTTTTGCAGCTATGCAATGCGAAAAACACATATTGACGAGACGTTCTCTGTGTGTGTGCGCGTGTGTGTGTGTGCGATTTTTCATCTCGAGACCTACAAAAGCTATAGAGCTGCAATTCCCATCCCCAAAATGGGCGGTCTTGACCCCGTGGTAACAACGTAAGAGCTCGTGCACAAAAAACCATCCTCCGGCTAAGCGTGTTACTCGCGTACGGGGTTGGCGAATATTTTCCCGAGCAAGTTCATAACTCGGGAATCTGGGAAACTAGAATGCTGAAATCCCAGGGTAACGTTCCCTGTCCAAGTAGATGTTGAAGCGCAGAAAACCATCCCCCGCGCAAGCGTGGTATTC